CATCCATCCATCCATCCATCCATCCATCCATCCATCCATCCATCCATCCATCCATGTTCTGATGTGAGGATGGCCTCATTCATCATCTGCTGAGACAGCTCAGATTAAAAGAAAGGCCTTTGTAGTTCCACACATCTATAGACACGTAAATGACACATCTATAGACACGTAAAAAGGAAAACAGAAAAAAGACGAAATTAACTGTATGTCATTTCATTTGAGATGTTGGATCCAGATTTGCTCCGGGGCGGCGTGTTTCAGAAGCAGATTGGTTTTTCCTGTATCATCCTGTGAGATAATGAAATGTTTGTAGAGGAAAGCTGCATAAATAAAAGCTAAAATTACTTGTCTCCATAGCTACCGCCCACTAATCCCTGCTGAAGGCTCAGAAAGGATCAGCAGAGCTGGGAATCGTTCTCTGATCGGCGCGTTGAGTATGAATCTGTAGCCTGTGTGCTACGTTCCCCAACGTGGTGCCGGTCCACATGGAGATGCTGCCGGCCTGCAGGAACACGTCTTTGCTGAGATGGAAAGGACCCATTCTGTGCTGCTTTTCTTCCTTTTCTTTTCAAGGACAAAGACAAGATATTTATCCTGTGTAGGAGGAAAGCAAGGCTTTCTGTAGAACAGCATTAGGTAGCACTAATTACAGGTTACACAATGCTGCAAAAAAGATGAACAACTCCAAGAAATGCTAAAAGTATTGAGAGTGCGAGTGCTTTCAGAGTAAAACCTACATTCAGCAACCTGAAGAGGACTGCTTTATAAAGACTCAATACTTACGCTGAATAACATCTGGTAGTGATGGAAAAACATTTCTGATTGCTTCTTTGAAATTCATTTTATTCTGAGTCAGCAAAAATTTTATTGTATCATAAATAAACGGACGGCTTTGTTGACTGTAGAAAACCTGAGTTGTAGAAGTTTTGAATCAGGTTTAATTTCTTTGCAGTCTGATTTCTTTTTTTCTTTTTTTGTGGGGGACATTTTGCCCTCTTAGACACGGTGGTGGCAGAATCATGCTGTGGAAGTTCTTTTTCTTGTCAGAGTTGATGGAAGATGGGTGGAGCTAATTTCACGGTAATGCTGGAAAGCAACAAAACACAGACACTTGTCAGAATGAAATGTTCTAAATTTAAAGACATTTGTACCGAAAAACGAATTTCATCCCTCCTTAACCCTTTAAAGCCCGATCCAAGAATAAAACAAAACAGAAAATTACTTTTCTTGTGTTTGAAGTCCTTATTTGGCCTTTTAACAAAATATGTAAATTTTTGACATTTTTGATATTAATAATTTATTACTATGCGATAAGTCTAGATTATTTTTTGTGTAGTCTTCTGCCGTCTGTTATCAGGTATATCTGATTGTGTACAATAGGATTTTGAGCAAAGTTTTTACCATTAAATTATGCAAAAGGTGTCAGACGCAAAACATTTCAGAAACCGTATGTATCAAATATGATACATTTGGCATTACAGGGTTAAAAATAGTAAAATTGACTCAAATTATGACTCTTCCGAGGAAAATAGGTTGAACTCCATATAAACACTCCATGCCAGAGGTTTAGCAGAACCACTTGGATCAAAGCATATTTATTATTGAGTATGGTTCAATCAAAACCTGAGTTTATGCAAAAAAAAGTATTTAAAACAAATGTTCAGAGCTACTCTTCTTTTATTATTTAATCTTTATTTAACCAGGAAAAAAATGTCATTTAGATTAAAAAACTCCTTTTGAAGAGAGTCCTGGCCAAGAGGCAGCAAAGTTGCATAATAAGCAGAGATACATTAAATTAAATAACAGGTACATAAGAAAACATATCAACTAATACAATTACAGATCATTCAAGCTGATTCAAATTCTTTCACTTTTAACTTAAAGAAATTAAAAATAAAAACTCAGTCAACTTCCAGTTTCTTTGTAAAAAAAATTCCATGCACAAGGAGCTGCGTAACTAAAGGCTTTCTTCACTAGTTCTGTGCGGGAAAAAGGAATATTGAGCAACAGCTGATCATTCGATCTCAGGGCAGAAGAAGACATGCTTTTCTGTGTAAGTAAGGTACAAATGTAAGACGGCAGTAATCAAAGAAGGGCCTTGGAAATAAAAGTGTACCAATGACACTGCCTTCTCGCAGAGAGGGAAGGCCATCCCACCTAAGCAACATATTCTCATTATCAGTTCGTATGAAATCGTACGAAAAGTTATGCACAGTATTTTGTACGTTTTGGACGTTTTTCCTCGAAAATACAGATCAGTATGCGCAGCCAGACAGACGAAAAAAGCAGATCCGCGGACGGACGTAAAACTGGGAAAAACAGTGCAATAATCACTTCTTCAGGTCTCTAACTAGGTTGCTTGCTGCTTTGTATCTTAGGGTTAGGGTTAATTGTATGTTAAATTCTATTTAATGGTGCGTAAGATGCGCAAGGATATCTTGTCTCGAGGCAAGACGTAAATATACGACAAAATGCGACGAAAAAAACGTCTAAAACGTACGAAATTACGGTGCATAACTTTTCGTACGATTTCATACGAACTAATAATGATGTCATGGCTCTACAGTTTGTGGTGAGCCTTAATGAAGCATAGGAAACAGAGTTCAACATTTGAAGACATGAAGAAATAGCATTCTTATAAAAAAAGGTCACCATAGGCTAAGACCGGTAAAAAGGTGGCAGAGAAAAGGCGCTTTTTTACTCCAAAAGAAAAACATGTCTTATTACAAAAGAAGAGGCCCAGTTTAACTTTTAAACTCTGTTTTCAACATGAAAGAATTTGAGCTATTTTTCAAGAAGCAATTTCAGCTGGGAAACAAACCCTGAATCGCTTGGAGCTGTAAATGCAGCCAAAACAATAAACAATTATACAGTTTTGAAATGTATGCAAAAAAGTTCAATAAACTTCTTTCTTTAAACTCATACCGGTGCACTGCTTTGTGTTTGTCTGCCAATTGAAATAAGGATTAAATACAAAGAGGTTTGATGTGTAAACATTAAAAAACATGAAAATGTCTGAAGTTCAGTGTGGACAGTAAAACAAACCTAAATAATACTAATAATACAGCATAACGAGTAAAGAATTATTTGAAGTTATCTCTTTAATAAAAGCTTAAAGAGAAGGAGTATGCATCATATGCAGACATAAAGCCCTGTATTGCACTGGGTTATTGGCTCTATTGTGATATTTTATGTGTTTAAACTGAAGTGCTTTGTCTAAAGCCTTTTAATGTTTCATAATGGAAATCTTTCCTGCTTTTTAAAAGTGTAAATGGTGACACGTTCCTGTTATGCAACACTTTTATAATGTGTTTGAGACAGAAAAATGAAAAGCATAGACTCATAATGCATAAATGTACTTTATTGTGTGAAGGTTTAAATGAGATACAAAG